CAGACATGCAGAGGGTGACAGGCATCACCAGAGACAGAGTGGGGAGCAGAACAGGCAGATCGACGAAGTACACTGCTGAGGGGAGCAGCGGGTGGGTCAGGACAGGTCTGCCGGGCCATGTGGGTCAGCTCCTGAGCAGGCCGGGATTGAACTCATGCGGAAGTGGCTTTAGCTTCCTAGTGCTGTGCTTTAACCCGCTGCGCCACCAGTGGGGGGCGGAGTTGATATTTTCTTAAAGGAGAAAACAGTTCAATAACGAGTGCTAGGAACCACGAAAGGCCATAAGGGTGGAGAAGGATCCACTACAGAGGCAAGTGAGAATCTGGCAGAGCAGGAAACTTCTCAGATAGGATGATATTCAGTCTGGGATTACAGACATAATCATTCAGCAACCCATATTCTGCAACTAGTTAATTGACAGAAAGTCTTCCTTGAGGTCAAAGACTAAAAGCCTTCAACATTAAATCACCGAAGATTGAGAAGCATCGAAGAGATTACATGTCAAATAAACCCACATTGTCCTGAAAGTTCAGCTTCCTTCTAGAATAGATGCTCTTTAGCAACAAAAATTGTTTTATAAAGATACATCTCACAAATCTGATTTTCCTTCTACCCTGATATCCCAGACGGGTGTGTGATAGGGGAGTTCCATTCTGAAGGATGGTGAAGGATGGGCTCCATGTACACGTCTGAGTAATCTGAGGGTTGGAGGGAGAGGTCCTCATAGGAGAAGGCCATCAGGAATTCCAAGAGGTATTTCTAATCCGAGAATGATACCCAAAGACATCAGGCATTGTACTTAGAACGAAGAGAGATGAATACATACCTTAAAGCACTGGATGTGAAAGTAGAGATTGAGGGTCTCAATAATCATGGCCGCTCCTTTCCCCAAAGGAAGCCCACAGGACGAGCATAGCTTCTTCCCACTTATAGACCTGGGTTAAAAAACACGTTATAGTGAAATATTCTGCATAGAATCATTCATCAAACATCAACTTGTAGCTTCATGCAATACATAAATAAAACATGAGTTTTAAAGTGTTTATATCACAAATGAAGTGACATTGACTGAACTGAAAATGGACAGGGAATTAGGCCTCAGATATACATTGCAAACACTTGCTAAACTAAATATACTGGGCCTTCACTTGGTGTTGAATTGTGTGTGTGTGTGCAATTACTTGTTGCATGAAGTTTGTGTTGTAGTCATTCAGCCACAGTGATCAAAGCCTGCAAGTGATTCAGTGTGTTTATCGTATGTTTTCATAGGTCCTAAAAGATAATCAAGTTTGGTTTAATAAAGTTTCAATGCTACTTTAAAATTTTCTATAATTAGTTCTTTGACCCATTAAGGTGTGCATGCATGCATGCATGTACATATATGTGTGTATGTATTGTTTCAAAATAGAGAGGCAATTGAGATATAGTCCAACAGGTACCAGACAGATATGGGACCTAATCCCTGCTCTGTCTCCAGGTTCTGTAACCTGATGTAAAGAACTCACTTTGGGTTTCCTTTCCCTTTTAAAATAAGAGGATTGAACAGATGATGCCTACTACCTTTTCTAGTGCAAACACTGTGATCTGGGACTGACATCGTTTCTGATTTATATCCCCCTGAGTGGCATTGTGCAGAGGGGTACCCCAATTCTGTACCCGGCAGCCCCCTAAACAGTGGGAGCCCCACCAAGCACCCGACACCAGGTGAGAGTACAGGATGGCTGTCCTCTAAGGCAGCTTTCCCACAACTAACATTGGACCACAATGATGTCCCAGAAATTAGTGAAATTACATAAGAAATTTTAAAATATGCAATATCTTTTGGAAATTACTGGGATACAGAGGGACAAAAGAAACAGAAAGGGAGACAAGAGAAAGGAAGGCAGAGTGCCTAAGTGAATGCTATTTATTAGGATTTCCCTCTTATCCAGTAGTTAAATGAAAATTTTAAATTGAAGAAAACCTTTGAGTACTCAGTAATTTGTCTCTCCAGTGAATGGAAACACAGGCAGCTTTTAAGAATGTCATGGCCCCCAATTAATGTCCAGAAGCAATCATTAGAGAGCACGAGTGGGCTAAAAGAGAAGGATGAAATTTCTTTCCTCAGCCCCCGCCTGGCTCCCTGCAAGAGCCATCAGCGGATCTTGCCTAGCAGGACCCAGCCGTCTTGGAGGCCACGGCGCCGACTGAGGAGCCCGGCAAATGTCTGGTGGATTTCATTATTAGATTGCAGGCCCTACACAATGTAATTAAAGCCCTGTGGCCACATCTGCGCCAGTGTCACACACTTGGCTTTTTCTGTTGTGGGTTGATGAATCTGCAGGTGAACAGGTAGTGTGTTTTCTCCTGCCTGTGCATGCGAGTAGGAAGAGGCGAAGGGATGAATTCCTCAGAATCATCTGGCAAGCACTGATTTGGCTGAAATAATGCCCAGAGCAGCCTCAGCAAGGCTTGCTGAGCTCTTGTACCTGTTTGGCGACTGGCCAGGAGGGGTGGGGGAACAAGGGGACAAGTGCCCAGCCTGGTAGTTCTCTCGAGGGCTTTTCCTGTAACGTGGTAAAGGAACCGAAAATTATGACGAGTCAAGAGAAGCCAAGTCAACAAAAACATTTAAATAGGAAACAAAAACTTCCTTGACAATCACATACAAAAAATCAAAGTGTGTCCTACTGGCAATTTTTTTTAAGGGACAGAAGATAGTCATTCTATCTAACAAGGACTGTGTGTGTAGTGGTCATCTATGATCAAAACCAGATCACTGTGGGACAGAAAAGACACAGTATATTTCTAATCTTTATGTTCTGTGCTTGATTATGATGGCAGGGTATGTTAGTCACAGAAAGGATGGATTGGGTGGGACGGGGAAGCAGGGATATGAGAGCCCAGATATAAAGGGTGGAGCCTCAAGGATGTATTTCTCAGTGAGGGGCCTCCTGCCCCTGTATTATGGATGCACACCATGGGGATGATGGTCAAAACAGCAACCACAATGTCATGGGCTCTATAAAGCAGAAGGGCCCAGCAAGAAGCTACCCAGTGGTTTCACTGCCAGGCGTAAGCATCAATTTAAACTCTTGCTGATAAAAATAAATTCTAGGGCCCTCCCTGATGGCGCAGTGGGTTGAAGCACAGCACTGAGAATCTAAAGCCGCTTCCACATGAGTTCGATTCCCGCGTGCCCCGGAGGTGACCACATGGCGTGGCAGACCTCTCCTGGCCCGCCCGCTGCTCCCCTCAGCAGTGTACTTCATGGATCTGCCTGTTCTGTTCTCCACTCTGTCTCTGGTGAAGCCTCTCGCTGCCCCTGAGCCTCTGGCCTGTACCCCAGATCTGTATGCACAAATAAATAAATCTTTAAAAAAAAAAAAAGGCTAGCACACAGAAAAGAATGAAAAAAGAGAAATGCCAACATAGAAGTAGACAGAGATGTGTCCCTTTGTTTTCTATCTGCTTCCAGAACAAAACCCTGTCCACTCAAATCCCCTCCTCAGGCAGAGCTCGCTGGTCTTCTCCCAAATATCACACTTGCTTGTGATACCCAAGTATCACTGCTTTTAAACAAAGGTTGAGAAACACTGCAATAATCAATAATAATGATTATATCTACATAATTTTGTCTTTGAGCATTATCTAATCTTACAGAAATGAAATTAAGATACATGCAAGAGAAAGTGGGGAAATGGTTCAACATTGTATTGAGAAAAAAAAGAAACAAGAAAAATAAGGTAAAATTAAGCTTATGAAACAAATTGATATTTTTATCACCATTCTCAACACCACCTAGAAGTATATAGTACTTACTATTTGTGAGGCACAAAAGCTTATCAAGGGGCAAATATTCCAATTCTCATTTTATACAAGAGGAAACAGAGGAAGAGGAAGATTTAATAACATGTCCAAAGACCTCTACGCAAGTGACAGACAGGTTGTCTGTCTCCAGATAGAGTGAATAGTTAAAGTAAAATGATTATTTTTAAAACTGATTACTAGTATCACTTGGCCAGCAATCATAAATTCTTTGTTCTTGCTATGTTCCCACTTCTCTTTTCCTACAGAAATTCTTCATCCCTGGCCTGTTTATCTTTTTGCAGATAAAACCATAGAAAATCAGTGGGGAGTGCAGAGACCAAGAAGGAGGTCGGAGGAAGGAGGGAGCAGGCCACAGCTTCATTACCATAGTAACAAGCACACCTGCAGGTGGTATGACAGACCTGGGTAAGAGCAAACTTGAAAGAAAGGGGTGTTAGTGCAGTTCCTGGAAATTTTGCTTATTTCTCTGAAATCCTGCTGATGCATCCTTTAGAAATGCCCCTTTGCAGTACCCATAGAAGCCCTGCTTCTCCCTGACTGGGGAGGAGGCCTTAGAGAATAAGTTCCTGTTTCCAATCCTTGGCCAGTGAATAACCCTCTGTTGCTCGAACAGGGATTCAAGCATGGATCCTGGCCTATTCAGGTTAAAAAAATACAGACTTGAACTGACCAGTAACACAAGGAACCACTGGCTGATACAAGATCTTATCTTGGGACCCTGGGGTCCGTGATGTCCTCTACCACCAAGCCCTCAAGAATTTTGGGTAAGTGATTTAACTTCCTTGAGCCTTAATTTCTTCATGTATAAAATTGAACAATAACCCTAGAACGTTATTGGGAGGGTTCAATGACTTAATGTCTGAAAAGAACAGGAGAGATATGTAAACCCTTCCAAACAATGCCCATTCTAGTGCAATGTCTCAAATGTGACAGGAACTCTTAATACTGTTAAACAAATATAAGTGTTGCAATATTAGAAAATAACTTCAGGTAGCCACTGGTAGAGAGCACAAGAGTGAAAGAAAACGTTTTCTTTCTTTCTTTTTTTTAATTGCAAGAACTTTTGCCAATAGGCTCTGAGACAATTTAATTCACTTAAAGACATTTCTAATACAGCAGACCTGCAAATTCTTTCCAATGTGTAGACTTATGGGTTAGAAACATTGCTTCTTTCAAAGGGATACAGTTAGAATAAACATTTACTTGCCAGGAAGATTATTCCTCACTTTCACAAACATTTGTGAGTAAGTGGAGAAAAGATACAAAAAAGCTGCTGACATGTTGCTATCTTATTTTTTTTCATTCTTTCCTTTTCCATCGATACATTCTTAAAAAAAGGAATTCCATCTCCCTCTAAATAGGTCACTTACTTTCGCCTTTCACTCGGAGACTCAATCTGATGGTTCATGCTTCTATCCAGCAGGAGGGTTTTTGGTTTCGCATCTTCTAACGTGTGTGTTGGTGGGGTTGCTATCTGCTGATTCCAGGATGCGTCTGAGGTAAGTAATGAACATAACTTAGTACTTCGTAGTCATCTTTGTGCTTAGCAAGTCATCTTTTCAAAAAAAGATTTATTTTTCTATATTTATGCATATAAGAGCGGGGGTGTTGGCCATAAGGGGAGCAGCTGGCGAGACAGGACAGATCTGCCATGCCATGTGGGTCAGCTCTCTGGCCAGAGCTGGAACTCCAGTGGCTGCCACTAGCTTGAAAGCACTGAGACTTTAACCCCTGCACTAGCAGGGAGGCCCAAGTGCCAAAGTCAGCTGAGGCTCACAGGGGGATCATGGAGACTTGGGGTGCAGGGCAGTGGGGGGTTATTCTCTCTACAGTTTAGCATAAGCCATTAGTTCACAGTGTTTAGCATAAGGCAGAAGAGAAACCTGTAGTCAGCAGGGGTCATAACTCTCTGAAGGTGGGGGGGGCATCTTACAATAATTTAAAGATTGGGGTTGGTGTTCTTCAGGCTTACTCTGAGCTAGCAGTGGGGGGTTCATCTCACAGTGTGCTGCGCCAGCATCTGTATCCAGCTGATGTTCCTGGTGGAATCCTTTTGATATAGGGTTCTCAGAATGAGTTAGGCTGTTAAAACAAATAAATTTATTTGAGATCCGACATAAAAGTAACTGAACGGAACTTAGTTGATTCTGTCCCTTAGGGCATGGAAGTACAAAACAGAATCTAAAAAAAGAAATGGGAGTAACTCAATATTTAGTTTATTCTTTTTAATTTTAAAGTCAATTTAAAATACTATAGAATAGTCCACATTGCTACTGTCCATTAATTTAACAAGCTTGAGAAACCATCCTTTCTGATGTCCTTCCCATCTTCCTGTCCATAAAACTCTTCGTTTTAATAATTTCAGTGCATGCCAGAGCTAACTGGAGCCTCCCTCATTTTCAGAAAAGAGGATTTACTGCAGATATCACTCTGGTCACAGTGGTCTCTGGGGAGCTACAGGCGTCTTGGTGAATGTGGTGTGGTGGCTTACGTTGAAGAGGTGTGAGGCAATACTCATCTAGTGTGGGAAGCCAAAGTCACCACTATTTAACAAACAGAGAACCCTTAGGACACATGGGATATTTGCAACCAATGTTAATTCACTCTCGGTGGCTTCCAGGTGCAAAGGTAAGAGCTGGAAGAGATACAACAAAACTTCTTTCAACAGCAGGAATTATGTGGATCAACATTATTTAATTATTCCTGATTCATGTGGTTTTCATTGCACAGAACTGGAACATCCCTTTCAATAATGTTAGCGGGAAATAGATGTGCAGCTCCCAGGGCTTGGGGCTGACTGCGTGGGGAGCCCAAGAGCCTATGGACTACAGCATCCTCAGGCTTCCAGCCCAAGAACACAGAGAATTCTCAGCCAATTTCCAAGAAGAGCTCAGTTCTTGTGAATCTTGCAAAATGGACAGTCTTTGAAACTGATATGAGGTAGCCTTTCATGTCTTCAGGTCTTTCAGAGGATGTTGTGTGTGTGTGTGTGTGTGTGTGTGGTATGTGCATGTGTATGCAAGCACATTTACACACAAGGGCCGGTATCTAGCTGGTATTCCAGAGCCCTGAGGCAAACTTCTGTCTCATAATGAACTTGCAGTGGTCAAACACTGCTGCCACCTGGGTTCCTGCAGGTCCTTTCTGGGTTAAGTACAGGATGGCAGCAATAAGCTCACTAAAGCCAATGGCAACAACCACATTCCTAGCTAGTTCTAAATGCTCCAAGGGGTTTGGATGGCCTGTTAAGCCTTTTGGTACAACATACAATGGGTGGGGTGGTTACCCATAACTGATTCACACATTGACTACCTTTTATCTTAGCACCCAGAGTAAACATGGCTGCTCACACTTCAGACAATGCAAATAGCAAAGTACAAGTCTACAATAGGTGGCATTTCAGGGCTTCATTCCAATCTCCCTCCCTCCAGCCACTGCAGGTAAGTGCTATTTATTTAAGTTTGGGGTTCTGAATTAACAGTATGCTCCTTTGATGAGCTATACTGTCTCCCCTTATTTATAAAAGGCTTTGCTTATTTAAAAAGCAGGCTATTTATATTCAATGGCACAAGGACACTGACTTCAGAGCTATCAGAATGTGTTCAAGCAATATGTAATGTATTACTGGAACGATCATTTCAAAGCTGAATATGACGTGCATTAGCAATAGGTACCCTTTGTGGGAGTGAAGGGGCAGAGCCCAGCTTTGCTCATTTAGATCAACTGACTGGCACGGCTCATACCCATCTCTTTCCTCCAGTAGATCGCACTCCCTTGTCTTCAGCAATACATCATTACTGTCTCTCTGGAATGGTTTCTTCTGCCTTGTCTCTTGTCCTTCCTCTCGACAGTTTTCCAAGTCCATCTTATTCTAATGGAGAAGAAAGGATAATCTTGGATACATTTTTAAACACCCTGCATAACATGTGTCTCTGGCCAGTGGGTATTTGAAGTATGGTTTCAATCACACTGTCTACAATTTAAGAAAAGTTCTCCCAATGAACTGAATAATAAACATTTTCCATTGATTGGAAAGAAATTTGTAATATGGATCTCTCTCAAAAGGTATCATCTGAGAGGGTTGGTTTTATTTTCCAAAGTAAAAGTCACAAGATTACTCATTTCAGGACAAATCACTTTTCATGCAGACTTGACAACTGCAGATTATGAACTATTCAGGTGTGTAGGACCTGTCCAGTGCCTCTATGAATTGTTGTGTGTGTGTGCGTGGCGGGGGGGGGGGGTCTGGGGTGAGGGGGTGGTGGTAGAGGAAGATTAGCCGTCTGGGCACTCTCCAGTCCTTGAAAATGGATTAAAGTTAATATTTAATACATAGGTTGGATGATAATAATAGGTTGGAAGCAACTTCCACGGAAGGTGACCAATGGCTGCTGTGAAGGAATGTTTAATAGAGCAGAATAACTGTAGAGTGAGGGAATGACGGACAGTAAGAAGGACATTCCAGCACATGGTTTCACTAATAAGGATTTTGCCAGCCTGGAGGTGCAGATCTGGCCTAAGTTATGACTTAACTGCTCCTCTGAATGTGGCTCGAGGTTCTCACCACAACATGGCTGGTGCCACGGGGCATAGTGGTCACACAGTACCTGACATGATCCCAGGGAAACTGTCAGTCCTGGATTTACATAGAAGACTTGGTCTGTGGTTTTGTCTTCTACTTAGGTTTATTTGTTTTACAAGTTGTGTTTAACCTATGAGCTCACCACTGCTCCACTGGCTTCCGTCATAGAGGAGGATGTAGACAGTTGGTCTGCAGAACTTGACGAAATAGTGAATGGAACTACGGTGTCTTCAATTATCTTACGTTCCTAAGGAGACAGGCAGGAATGAATGGAAGGGAATAAAGTGAAAAGTCACATTTGTTCAAGAGAAAAATTTCACCAAGGACCGTTAGAAAAAAGCATCAGAATATATGCAAACAAACAAGGCATTAAAAATGTCTTATTTTCTAAAAGTATGTTAATCAGATTACACGTTCTGTGGGCAACAATTTAGACATTAGCATTTAATTTAGAAAAACAGAGTATTTGTAAATTCATTAGTTAGTGAAATTTAAGGAGCCTAATCAGAAATGCTATGAGGGATCTGATTAGGCACAAAAATTATTGTGGATGACAAAATTCACAACAATATTAGTCATCAGTAGATTTCAGATAATATACATAAAACGTAGTTTGCTTCAAATTCTCAAATGTGGTCTAGCTTGTTCATCAAAAAAAAACCAAACAAAAAATAAAAACTGAGGCAAACAAAACAAAATTCTCTCCAAATCTCTTTAGTACCATAAAGTGAATGCAACAGTAAGGATTCATTTAGCCTCGGTAGCAAAATAATCCTTATAAACAAATAATTCCTTAACAGCTACCAAAGGAGCTTGCCACAAGCAGACATACAAAAATAAATACTTCCATGTTTCCTCTTTAAGATCAATCAAGAATCCAACTCTGACTAGAGAACAGATACAGCTATATTGTCTCCATCCACACTGTGGGAGTCATGGAACTCGAGGGAACTGTGGTCTCTTAAAGCCTATAGGATTTGGCTTTCTGAAGAGTTTGATAGGGCTCTGCTGTAGGTAAAAGAATCAGACACAGCCATACACGTACATACATGTACCCAGACACAAAAGGTGTTACTAGGCATGAATTAGGACTACAGGTTAAATCCCTTCTTGGACATTTCCTACCTCCTCATAGTATCTTCGTTCTTCCTCTTCCACCTCTTTCTGAGCCTTTTCCCACTCTTCTTTCAGTTTGTCCTGCTCCTTCTGGTATCTCTCCTGTTATGGAATGCCCATAGATTGTTCTGAATTGACCATTGTGTACATTATAGGGGTTGGGGTATTTCCCCCCTCTAAATTGCAATGTACATATGTTGCTACACTCCCTCTGGTAACATTCTGAAACTAATAGATTCATGCAATAAAAGGGGATACTATCTTGTGGCATTCAAACATTAGGCACAAAAAGATCCAACTGTGAGCAGTATTTTCTGCTGTTCATGTTGTATTGTTCTTCAGGTAAATGAGTAGACATTTGTTTATGGGGACATAAAAGATAGAGATATATAAAGGTTCTAAAATCTTCCTTGACTTGGGTTTTGTTCTAGGAGGGTGGTGAAGCCAATTGCTTGCTTTTACTAGGTCCTGTTGAGATGAATTTTGTCATTCTGCTAATAGAAAATTTTGCTGCTAGGAGAGAGGTTAATAAAAGATTAAAAATTTGATAGGCTTACAAGACAGACAGTGTTAAGAAGGTCCAAAGTGGATAAGATGATAATTAGCTCTATAACTACTCTTTGCTCGTAGCCATTTCTACAAAATGGAATCTTCCCAGCTTTAAATAACTTTTGAATTAAAAGTAGCTTTTACACAGCCCATTAGAGGTTTCAATATCAGAACTGTCATTCTTGTTTTCAGAAATAATACAACACTACTCACCACTTCTGGGTGAAAATATAAAATACTCTGAATAAAGATGGCTTGAAAAGTGTGAGGGACTCCTGACAGCTGACTAGCAGAGACGAATAAATGGAGATTAACATTAATGCTTAAAATGAGAACTGATATCTTGGATGCCTTGGGAACAGCATCCTCCATAACAGAGACAAAGGAATCACTGAAACACACTGCACACCGTCACATATTTTAGGCTGATGATTGTTCGTCCTCTGGCTGAGTTCTAAACAAGTCTGTGGTCCCAGCTTCACTAGGGAGATGCTGAGATTTTCCAGGGAATACCTGTTATGTCATTATCTTAGTATGGCTTTATTGTAGCTATCTGAAGCCTGATATTTTTAATCCTCTGGCAAAACCATTGCTGGTCAACTCCTTGCAGGTTTTTAACTCCAGATAAAAAACTGTTATCAAAACTAGTCACATAGTTTTAAAAAGGACTTCCAGGACTTTTCAGAGTTGGGGAAACAGAATCTAAGATTATACAAAAGCTAAAAATAAGCAAAGCTTCTTAGGCTTATAGATTCCTTCTGCAAGAAGATGAACAGATGATGTAGGTAACATCATCTGCTTGATCTGTACCACACATACCACACACAGGCACAATATTATACACAGAACACACACCAACATCCACACACGGACACAAGACAGCACACAGTACACAGTACACAAGACAACACACAGTACACAGACACTCACCCACCTACAGTCATAATACAACACATAGCACACACAGAAACATACCACACACAGACACAAACACATGAAACACACGTAACACACAAATACAATGCAACACAGATTCATGCAAAAACACACACACATGCACAATGTATACAACGTAAACACAACACACAATACATAACACACAACACACAATACATAACACACAGACACATGCAATTCAAAGATGTGCACACAACATGGACACACACAGCATATGGACACAGACAATGTAAACAGAATATACATGGGCATACAGAGCACACAACACATACAAACACACACACACACACACACACACACACACCTCCTCCCAAACAGCTGGGCCCCAAAGCCCATAACCCAGGATGCCACACTAGGTAACAACATGGCGCAGCAGCCACAAGCCACCTACCCACTCCCCATGGCCACCTTCAGAGTGTCAGGACACATTGTTGCAAAGGGGGCAACTTGTCTGTCTCCTCCACTCCCTGGAATTTCTGACTGGTGGCCAATCACCATATGGCTGAGGAGTGGGCACCTCATTTCATTTCCAAGCGAATAGCAAAATGGCCAAGGCTGATCTGAGATAGCTCTGGAATGTTGCTGAATCCAGCTCTTACTGAAATTTAGTATTGACATCTGTCCCTCTGCAACTTTGAAAAGAGCCACACTGAACCAGAAGACCTAAGACCACACTGCAATGGATTAACTGTCAACACTGACTCCTGCTCCCTGCTCTTGGGAACTAAACTAAAGGGGTTAGAAGAAAAAGATAAGAAAAAAATAAGTAAAATAAATGTACATCAATTATTTGCATTTACACTGCTGCAGAAAGTCATGAACGGTAATGTGATCTAACATTCCTTTTCGTTCTGATGTTTTTGGTAAAATCACTGCTATTGAAACTATAGTAAAAAAGAACATGAGTTTTAGGGTCCTCCACATTTAGATTGAAGTCTGCCTCCACATTTATTATGTGACTGTGGACAATGAATTTAAGCTCCGTGGGCCTTAGTTTCTTGAATTGCAAGCCAGGCCTAACGACACAGACACAGAACTTGGAAGAGTTGTTTGAACATTAAATTAGATAAAATATGTTCAGGTCCTGGCATGTGGCAAGACCCCAACATATATATCAGTTTCCAAGGTTACTTTTCTGAAGCCCTATTACTCCACAAAACTGCTATGAAACAAGTAGAAACATTTACACCCCGGATTCTCCTAGAACTGAAAATCTGCAGATTTTACTCAAGGATGGACTCATATGTATGCTAAATAGCTTCTTGATAATCCATTCCCACTGCTATTTGAACTGGAATTTGACTGTTAAGGAAGTGACAAATGGGAGGCGACCTTTTATCATTAATACTTGGAGCTTTTTAAGTGGCAGGCACTTTTTCATGTTCATCAGTATAACCTTTGGCAGAAGAAATTAGACACAGAAGAAGTTTCTTCTCTGTCCAGAAGAAATTTGACACAGACTGAACTGATTTAGGCTCGCTGACTTCTGAGAAGAACCTGACCCCACTGCTTGTGCTAAAGTTGTACCCGGCAAAGAGAAGTTAAGAAAGCATTGCCTAAAAGAAACCACCACCACAACCCACAAACAAGTCCTACCTGCAGTAAACGTTCTTGCTCCTGTTGCCATTTCTCCTGTCTCCTGCGCTCCTCTTCCGGGTCCCACGCCCAGAACTTAAACTGCTTAGGGAAAAAGCACAACCCATGATCGGAATCGAGCCACGTGCCCTGGGCTGTGTCCCCAGGGCAGACGACACAATTAGCTTGTGGCAGGCAGCCGGAGGACAAGCAGAAGCAGAAGCCTTCACAAACCAGGGGCCCTCCACTGGCAGAAATCATTTTTTAATCTTAGTTTCTCTTTGGTTAACTTCCAAGATGCTGGTGTGATTCTGCGAACCTTTTTAGGGTTAATAAAAACATGAAGTAATTGGGCGCTGGCATGGGACAGCTTTTGCTTCATTTCTCTTGGAAGTGATTTCCTGAGTGCTTTTGTGCTCCTGACCCGTAAGAGATTCATTTTGCATATGGATCCTGGGTCATATGGATGCAAATGGCATTGATTATTTCAGCATAACTGCATTTTGTAAGAAGTAGTGTTTGCTGCGCTACAGAAACAATCTTTTATACGGCTGTAGCTTTTCCACACCAGCTTGCCCTAAAGCAGGTTATGGAACTCACCAGTGCCCACCTGCATCACCTGTGATCCAGACAAGAGGGTGTCTCTGCTTTTGGGTCCACATAGTGAACACTCAAACCCAAAGACTGTCTTTTGAAAAGGAATTTTGTGAGTTTGGGGATGAAGTGAGTGAATGCGGGAGATGGGAGAAAGATGTATGAACCGAAACAGGTACCCAAGTCATAGAACATGGGATTGAGAGGATGGGATGGGGGAAGAGAAAACCTGGCCTGTCCTTAGGATGCCAGCAAAGAGGGGCTGCTGTGTTTATAACAGCTCCCCCATCACATGGTATAGGTGCTAAGGAAGCCAGGTTCCCCAATGACTGTGCATTCTTCTTCTCTTCTGCTCTGATAGAGTAGTTTTTGGGGGGACACAGAATTTTTTGGTGATCTTAAAAGAAAAAAATAAGATGAAGGAGTTAGGGAGGAGGAGAGTCTGTGGCAGGCAGCAACTTCCTATCTGACTGCCTGGGAAGCTGGAAGGTCAGTCTTCTCCAAGGGGTCAATGCACCTGCTACTGCCCAATATACCCCGGTCAGCCTAACCACCCCCTGCCCTCCCCCCAACAGATTCACACTCCCTCTCAGGTGTACAATGTCTGGGCAGGCCCCAGGGAGCAGTCCAGACTGGGAATGTGCACCTCACTATTAATTTATAGGTTATACTACTGTGACTATTTACTCCTACATTTAATATATTAAAATACATGAAGTGTGGGCCTCAGGACTCCTTGCTATCTATAGTTTCTGTAAATGATTGGGAGGCCCACAGAAAGTTAAAGAGGGGGGGAACACCAGGTAAGGATAAGTACTTCCTGTATGTCACTCCTGGGTTTGCACTGCACATGTGTCTTGGGGGTTCCCTTCCTCCCCACACCTGCCCCGGGGATATAGAATAATTAGATACTGTTGTTCTCATATAAGTTAAATTGGGAATCAGTGGGTTATATGTTGTATTCTTAGATCTGTGCCCCAAATGTCAGCTTTGGGGTCCTTCTGTATGTCCCCATCCCCTGGGTGTTCTCAGCTTCCCAGAAAGGTCTGCATGCCTGGTATTGCTCAGCATGGAGGTCCCACAATGACCCATGTTCTGCAAAGTGGCTGGAGATATTGAGGGTTATGTGACAAATCATGAAGTTTCCTTCTCTATTCTGCATAGGTACTTGGGAATTCTTAGAGTAAGATGATTTACTCATAGATAAGCTCTAGTACCAGTTATGGGGGACCCCTGAGGTTAGCCATTTGGGAGGATCTATGTACCAGGCATGGTGCTAGAGGTGTCCATAATTACTCTGATTAAAGCTCTCAACATTCTGAAAGGAAGGTGTTATCTCACATACAATCCAGGAAGATGAAGCTCAGAGAAGTTGTATGATGCCTTCAGTCATATGGTCAATAAATTTGGAATCAAAGGTGCAACAGTGATTATGAGACTATATCTAAGGGACTTGGAAACTTCGGAGGATGAACTGGAAACAATTTAGACTGCTCAATATAATTTGGCAGCAAAGAGTTTCAAAGCATTGTGGGTCCTGACATTTTACTTAGCAAATACTTAAAAAAATTCATTGCAATAAAATTTGAAAAAAGAAAAGGCAGCTCATACTTTTCCAGGTACTGACGGGTGAGAAAGGGTGCAAACTCTAGGGTCCAGCCTGAGGTCTGCTGTCAACAGCACCCTGTTGAATATCATCCTCATTAAAAAAAAAAAATGTTTTGACTGCCTTGGAAGTTGCATATTTTAATTCTTATTTCTATTGTCACATTGATTTTAGTTGGTTCTTTCAGAGTGAGATGGCATTTGTTTCCATGAGTAGTAACAATTCTGCTCTAGGATAACTGTGACTTTCTTCATAACTCACCTGACAGGAGCAGAGGAGACTCCTGATGACTCTTCTACATCAGTGTTTATGGAGCACATTTTTGGTTGAACCCCATATTGATTAAAATCTATATGCATGAGCTTATTCCTTAACTAAGTTACTTACAGGTGTACTTGCCGGTGACTTTTCATTGCTTGGAGACTCCACTGTATAGGAAGAAGATAAAAAAGATCATGATGTGAGTCACGTCTGACTGTCTTTTTCTTTGATCCTCAGTTGAATGTGGTTCCTATGTCAGTTTCAAATCAATTTTTATTGTAAGCCAAGAGTCTTAAAAAATAATAATAAAGCACACCCCTGAAGCAGTTGGCACCCATCACCAAAAGAACTTATGGCCACTGTCAAAGATCAATCCCATCAGTTAGCACCAGGTTCTAGGCTATAAGCAGTAAAACTACCCCATGGGAGTGCTGGTTTTAATTCACCTTGCACACTGGCTAGAATGACCAGTTCCCTCTCTGTCCAACAGGGAGAAGTGCCATAAGGAGAGAGGCCGATGGCATCCAGAGTGACACAGTTAACAAAAGAACTATTACCAATTCCTGGTAAATTCTCCTCACCTTTGCTTTTTTCTTTAAAAAAGAACAATGAAGAAAGATGCGAATATTATTTCTTTGGATTTTCAAAATCACAGTAAAATTCTGTGAATTTCATCCCACCTGATTTTAGAGTAATTGGCACTATTATCAAAGAACTAGCTCTTTGCTAACTGTGTGTCAGAGACAAGCACCTCCCCCTTCACCCCCGAAATCGGAAATGAAGAAAAATACCAGATGTCAGTGGTTGCCCCCAACATGGAGTTTTGCACAAAAGAAATACAGCTACCCAGTATATGTTTTTACCTGACTGGAAGAAAAACTGGGAACGTCGCCAAGAGTTCTGAACTCTAAGCGGAACACTGGCAGTGCCAGGCGACTCTAGATCAGATGGCAGAACAGAACAAACAGAAAACCATGAACACAGGGGTGAGAACAGAACCCTGCTCCCAAGGATGAAAGGAGCACTGATATCGTCAATCTGAGAATCAAGAGCAAAGAACCTGAAGTACCAAAGGTCTCAATGGAACGTAAAAACCTGAAGGACATGGACGAAGTCAACAGACATGGACAGTGGCCACTGTTCTATGTCGCTGGTGTTTCCCTGGCTCATGCTTAAAAGGGATACTGTGAAAATGTTAAATGTCAAAAGGACAGGATGATACTCTATGCAAGATCAAAGTTGGAGTTGACAATCGTTCTACCTAGCCCTGGGAAAGCATACACAGAGATGAGCCCATCTGGTATGTTGTATGCTCTGTAAAGGCTTTGTGGGGAAGTCTGTGTACAAGTTATACATGGCTGCAACCAAAGCAAGCATCTATGCCTGGTACAAGGTGCAGGGCAGAGACTCCCAGCAAGTGTTTGCATTCTTTAGTTCTGTGCTGAACTGTCTCATCATTCTCAATACACATTTTAAAAATGTGCACATATTTTCCTGGAACATCAGTGTGAGATTTAAAATGGTAGGGAGACAGTTGGGGAAAAGAAATGCATCACCTTTAAGTGTTTTATGAATGTTTTCAGAGTACTTAATGACTACTTATTAGCAATACCATGAAGGCTCACCAGCTGATCTTCACTGGCTTGTGAGATCAGTTGATAAGCAGATGACTTTATAGAAATGGGGTAGATACCACTTTCTGGGGGAAGAGAATAGTCAATATGGCTCCAGGATTTGTGATCCTCTCTCTATAGCTACTTTGGATTGCCGTGTGATCTCATTTAATATGGAACTTTCTGTAGTCCTAACAAGTATTGCTAATATTTCCATACCTACTGCATGGGTCTCTGGTGCACAGTTTAAGCACATACCAGGCAGAAGTTTCAGAGTCTGGTTCCCAGATCTGCAGCAACAGCATCAGCTTTGGGAATGTGTTAGAAATCATATACACTGGTCCTCCCTAGTGGCGCAACAGGTTAGGACGCAGCGCTGCAAGCTAATCGCAGTTGCTTCAGTGTGTTCCATCCCCACCCTGGAGGTGACCCACATGGCTGGCAGACCACTCTTCATTAGCCTGCTGCTCCCCTCAGCAGTATACTTTGTCCATCTGCCTGTTCTGCTCCCCACTCTGTCTCTGGTGAATCCTCTCACCGCCCCTGCACCTCTGGCCTGCATCCCAGTTCTGTATGAATGAATAAATAAATCTTTAAAAAAAAAATCACATACACTGCCCCCCCCCCCGAGACTGCCTTAGTCAGACACTACAGGGGTAGGGCCAGGGTCTTTGATTACCTGATTCTGCTGGTGATGTTGGCATGTACCCAGGTTTAAAACTACTGCTTCAAGCTCTATCTCTACAATATAAGCATTTAGGAAGCACTGGAGAATAGTTTATTTCTCACTGGCATCTTGTTCTATACTTCCATGCTAATTGTGACTATTCTCTAACTACCAGATTATGCTATTAGTGGTTATACCGGGCCAGATATTGAGTTACAAATGCTTTTTTTTATTATCTCATTTAATTTTATCTCTTCAATATTTCAATGAGGCTGTGTCTATTAATATTTCCAGTTTATAGATGATGATTAGGAATTAGGGAGAACTTGGTGGCAAAAAAGCTAAGAATTAATCAAACAAGAACTCGAGCCCAAAGCGCGAGTCTTGTCTCCCGAGTGTGCAGCTGTGTTCACAGGCTCTACGAGCCAGGCAAGAGAATGGACAAGTGTTCTCCAAATGTAATTCTATCTTGAAGAGTAAGTTCTGAAATGTCACAGTGCTACTAAGTTTTCTCTCAGTCATTTAGTTTGGATACAACTAGATTCCCTTAGATTCAACAGCGTATGTTATAAAACTGAAATGGCTTATAACAGATAATGGAAAGTATATATCTATGACAATCAAACTTATTAATAGGACTTAGAATACCTATTTCCTCTCTGCTACTGATTCTACACAATTACAAAGTGATAGAAATAGGGCAGATATTAAATTTGTCTCACTATGGCCAATCGCTGGCCTACTTATGAGACTTTATTTTTGTCAGTTCCCTCTAGGAATGCACAGGCTGATGACTTAAGGCAAATGCCTTGAAGACAGCATTGAGCCAATTTCCACATTAAAAATGAGTGATCATTAGTGTATATTCCAATTAATTCTCGCCAAGTACTTCCTATGACATAGATAGGGCCCAACTCATCTCCCAGATATCAGCAAAGGCTAATGAAGCCAACTCAGTTTCTGCTTAGGGGCCCTAAGGAGCCGTTCTTGAGGGAAAATTAAAAATAAATCCCCAGTCATAATGAACTTGTACCATCCCTCTTTGTTCTAGGCGATCAATCAAATCTATAAGATATATTAGGGAAAATACTTTTGAAAAAGTAAACCAGGGCCTTCCCTGATGGCACAGCAGGTTAAAGCACAGCACTAAGAAGCTAAAGTCACTTCAGCATGAGTTTGATCCCCGCCTGCCCCGGAGGAGATCCACATGGTGTGGCAGACCTCTCCTGACCCGCCCGCTGCTCCCCTCAGCAGTGTACCTCATCACTCTGCCTGTTCCACTCTCCACTGTCTCTGGTGAATCCTCTCACCACCCCTGCACCTCTGGCCTGTACCCCAGTTCTGTATGCACAAATAAATAAATCTTAAAAAAAAAAAGGTAAACCAAGAAACCTTAAAGCTATAGTCTCCTGGCCCCTCCCTGTTTTCACATCTAGAGAGAATTTACACCAGTAAAGTCCAGTTTACAGAGCGGTTTCCAGGAGTCACAGACATGAGGATCCTTTCTGGTGGGGTGGGCACCTGGGTTTTCCATCCAAATAAAGGGACCCAGTTGGGCTCTTAAAGGGTAATGGGGTGAATTCACAAACCTGTGCATGAGCTGAAAGTATTGGGGAGTTCGCTGCAGTTAATGCTCAAGACATCCACAGACCCTAAATTCCTATATTTTCAGAGATACCCTTTCCCATTTGATGTCAAACACATTGAAACATGCCCTCAGCATACATATAACATATATTATTGCTGTAAAGAATTTTTGGAAGGATTGAAGTTTAGGGTTGTGAGTAACGTGTTTAATCTCTGATAGTGATTTCTTGGAAATTATCTGCATACCCATGAATTATTATGGCGTAAGAAAATCTGATTTTCTCCCAAAATCATTGTCAAAATAAATGAATATTTTATGAAGACCATATTTGACAATAAGTGAAATTGACATACACTAAGCTGATAATATTTTAATTAAAATTGTTGATTTTCTTATTGTGTAATTTTTTTTTTTTACAGAATTTTGGAGCCAATAAGATATATTTTTTTTCAATAAGATATTTTAAAGTTATCAAATACTGTGAAGGTCTTGTTTTCGCTAAGGGTATATGGCTGCAAAGTGGTCTTGGCAGCTGGGGTTCCTGGCTTGGCCAAATAGAGAATGCAGAGCAGATTTGTGTTCTGGCAACACCCTCGCTAAAGTTGTATCAACATAAGGGAAGTAACCTTCCTTTGAAATAAGGAACATTTACTAAGTATGGGCTCAACAGAATGTGCAGAATTAAAATAAAACGTTTCCTTCTTTTTACCTTGAGAATTGAGATTTGGCAAATGTAATTGGTTGTTTTCAGGTATGTTGTCCAGAAATGGAAATGTCAGTGTTGCTTCTGGTTCTGGAGATTTTGGCTTTGCCACCTGGATCGTGAGCAAGAGACAGAAAAATTACAAATATTGTTCATCAATAAATGCACAGGTAAAATAAACTTTAACTTATAAATGGAAAATTTTCCCCATCCCACAACCCCCTTTCCTGCTTTTCTACATTAATAGTGAGCAACTTTTCAGAAAAATCTATTGTATAAAATTTTGATAATCACTTTCTTCTAAATTCCAAAGATAATATTCAACCTTTAGAATTACACATCACTTTTATTTTCTTATGGGTCAGTCACACATTGTCAGGTTGATATTATGCCATACTGAATTTGTAACATCTGGAAATAAGATGCTGCACATAAGACTTAAAAAAATTTACTACATGAGTGTTAATATTAAAGTAATACCACTTTCTAGCCTATTCTTGAGATACTACGCAGCCTCCCACAAACATGCAAAGCATATTAAAGACAATACACTTTTCCTAGTGACAAGGAAGCATTATTATAAGTATCCACGATCAAGCAGGGTCGGGCAATGAGTCCTTAGGGGATTTTTGAAGCACGTTCATCTCTTTGTCCTCATGGTAGATGGTGCAGGCTCTACAAATTCCTGCTTTAAAAATACATATTTTTCTTTATTATTGCTATTTAATTTTATTTTGTTTTTCTCCAATCAGAATGGCCTTGGGTAGAAGAAACCTCCTTCCAAGTTGTTACTTTTACTCAACTGGTATCTGATTTTCTCCCAAAATCATTGTCAAAATAAATGACTGGTATCAAACTGTCTAAATCAAGACACAAAAATTCTGGACAAAGGTCTGAATGGGGAGCATGGCGGTATCCCTTCATGTGCTCATAGACTCTCTCTGATTCCCTCTGGTTGGTGGCTGTGATGCGGCACATTAATTTCATAGTCCAGGAGCACTTTGTTTTCATCATAAGCAGGCCTATGGTTTGGTTATCAGGATGCTTTACTGTGTAGAATTTCTCTTCATAGAATTTTATTTTTCTTAACACAAATAATATATGCAGCCCTAATGCAGTCCTGAAGGAAATGGGATCAATTCCTCATTCTGCATTGCAGAGTGCCACCAGTTGTGCAAATGAGCTTCACTGTTCAACACTTGGCAAAAGCTAAACTCTAGACTTAGCAAAGTTCGGCAACGCTTAGATGTTAACTTCATGCCATATCCTCCACAGTGGCAGAAAAATATGGCTCAGATAATTCCCAGTAGAAAATTAGATGTTGATTGTTAGCAGGTATGCGCAAAATGATCAGGTGGAAAAAGGCCAGCCTGTGTCACAGGTGCTTTGTTTTATAAAGGTAACACTTTCAAGTGAAGTGAGAAAAAGGAAAAGCTACTGCAGTCATGGTGACCCTTCTCCCTATTTCTAAGAGCTAGCTGCCCAGTAGGGAAAGGAGGAAGGGGAGTAATTTACATGGTGTAAGTGAGAAAAGTATTGTGTTCCAAGACCATTATTTTAGTCAGTTAGCCTAGTAGCAGAAATTCTTAGCATGGATTCCATACAACAGATGTTTTCGAATTGAGATGACGCTGGTTTACAACATGGCACACGAGTCAGTGTATAGATTCATACTTTTTCAGATATGTTACTATACCATGCCTACCCCAAGACACACCCACAGTCCTCCACAAAACAGAATTTGTATATGTACACCTGCCCCCCACAAGTGCACACACACTTTTTCAATAGTGGCATAGTTGTGACACTGACCCTCTGAATATGGGTCACACCCCTCAGAGAAGGGGTGTGGGTCAATATTTTTAAATTATGACATTCACTTTATTTGATTAGAAATATTCTTTTCTAGCTATACTATAGACCTTTCCTTTCAGTTTAGAGTTAAATGGGGGAAAAGTTAATTTGGAGGAACATGAATAAATACAGGTTGCAACTATAAAGTGGTTAAAGCAAAACACACAGCAGCACCTCCTCAATCGCTCCCCTATGGTTTAATCCCTCTTTTCTCATCTGTAGACCATTCGTTATATCTGTTTTTTTTAATTGAGGAAACACTGGTTTATAACCTTATATATCATTTAGAAGTATACGTTTATAGCTCTTGAGATGTCTATTATCATACCATATCCACCATCTCCAGAACATTCTTTAATTCTATGTATAGAAATGGGGAGTAGCCAGAGTTTGAAATCCCCAAAAGACATCAAGGCAGCAGGTGCTTTTGAGGCTCTGAAGGTGAGGGATTGTGTCTTGTTCATTAGTGACTAGCCTGAATCCAGAACAGTGCCTGACACATAGTAGCTACACAATCCTGTCAGCTGAGTAAATGATGAATACACTGGAACTAGAAATGATATATCTTTCAGTTCAAAGTTAAAACCAAATGTAGGGTTACTTTTTAAAGTTGAGATCTCGTCGCATATTTCATATGCTATATGCATATATACATATACATATACACATAGTATGAGTGGTTCTCTATTTTGGTGACCCATAGCATTGCCTGGGGGGCTTTTAAAATAAAGATGCCTGTGTTCTGCCCCCAGAGATTCTAGTTTGCTTGACCTAACTGTGCTTCATATGTTTTTAAATTCTAAAGGGTCACAAGCTGGCCATTGTGTGAATCAGACAAGCAGGTTCTCACCAGACATGGAAATCTGCCAGCACCTTGTTTTCAGACTAAGCAGAATACAAAATTGTGGGAAAGAAATTTCTGTAGTTTATAAGCTACTAAGTCTACTGTGTACTTTTTATGTATTCAATTTTTTTTTTACAAACTTCATGTAATAGATTTGTATTTAGAAAAAATGCAGGCTAAAGATTGAAAAAAGATGAATCAAGACAATAAATCAGAAGCGAAAATACAAGGATCAACGAGTAGCGTACGGCAGCGAGCACACTATGAAGCCACAGCTTCTGGGCTAACTAGTCCACTGTGCACTTCACCTTTTGTGACATCACCAACTCCACCTTTCCACTCAATTCATTTTCTGTTTTCTTCTGGCCTTTTTCTTCTGGCACATCATTCTTCAGCTGGGGGCTGGAAGAAAACTCCACAAAGGCCACAGTTGGACTGGATCGAGTCACAACTGTTGTGAAATGTTGTGGATCTGAAATGGAATTATATCCAGAAATGTAAAGAAGACAAAGAAAGCCGGAGGAAGGATCATTTATCCAGCAATGCTATTTGAATGCCAAGTTGATTCAAATGGGCAGTGAGAAGCTGGATCACAATGCGATGAAATAAAGGAGTAAGAGAACAGCATAAAAGACACTACTATGCCATGCTCTTCATGATAATAACAAAAAAATCAGGCAACATAAAACACATCAAAGAACTCACTATGAAAATCCAAGGAGACAGTTTGCATTTGAATGACATTATATGAACTGAAAAGCTGATGTGAATTATTTAATGACAATGGGATTATACAAACACACACATAACTCTGTATGTATGTATACATGTGTCTATTTATACATATTTACATAGAATGCAAGTATTTTCTTATTTCTAGTTAAATACACTCCAGAGTAATGAAAAAAATCACCAGAGGGGTATATAAAAGCTTGGGGTGCAATTTGCTTTTAAAAAGTATACATTAAAATTTTTAGTAATGCCATTTATTTTAAAATGCCATTTATAAACAATTTGGTATAGAAGAGGGTTACAGGTTTTTGCTTCTCAAAAGAAGAAATGTGTTTTAAATATTAAGAAACATTAATCTAGGAAACAGACCTTATCTGTGGTACAGTTTATTCATTCAAACTATTCATGAGTTTTAACATCTCAGTGTCTATTTTTTTTAAAGATTTATTTATTTATGTTACAGAACTGGAATACAGGCCAGAGGTTTGGGGGTATGGGGGGGTGAGAAGATTCACCAGAGACAGAGTGGGGAGCAGAACAGGCAGATGTACTGAAATACACTGCTGAGGGGAGCAGCGGGCAGGTCAGGAGAGGTCTTCCGCGCCATATGGGTCAGCTCCCTGGCTGGTGATGGAACTCTTGCTGCAGTGGCTTTGGAGAGCTTCATAATGTGGTGTTTTAACCTGTTGAGCCTCCAGGGAGAGCCCTCGGTGTCTATTTTTATGACAATTACTTTATCTGTCTTGTTTATTGCTGTTACTTTGTATTAAAGGAGTTTTAATACAGTTGGTAGCATTATTCGGGAGAAATATAATTTTTTTCATGATGATGGGAAACATTCAACAAAACAAGGTAGCAAACAAGCAGAGGCTCCTGCAATTATAAGGAACTAAGGCATGGGGCCGGAATTTCCCCTACAAAGCCTCTAGGTGGCAGCACAACCACACCGCTTACAGACTACCATTCTGTGGCTCAGTGATTCTTGATTTTAATTTTCATTATATCTTAAGAATTTTAAAGATTTACCTTAAGACTACTCTGTTGTGAAACAAACCTGATGTGAGAAATTCTACATTCTCTTTACCTGATTTTTCGACACCATTCCCATCTTCTTGACTGTTTGGTTCAGCTTCCTCAGTGCTTACCTGAAAAAGATATTTACTCTCTTGAATAAATGATTTGCTTGAAGGTTCTAAAAGAGGATATGAGTTTTTTTTCTTTTTTTTTTTGAATAGTAATTTGTAGACCAACAAGGTGAGTTGTCTATATGAATTTCTTCTTCTTTTTTAAAAGATTTATTTATGCATACAGAACTGGGGTACAGGCTGGAGGTACAGGGGTGGTAAGAGGACTCACCAGAGACAGGGCAGACAGGGCGGGGAACAGAAGAGGCAGATTAATGAAATACACTGCTGGGGGGAGCAAGTCTGCTGTGCCATGTGGGTCACCTCCCTGGCTGAGGATTGAACCTGTGTGGCAGTGGCTGCATTTAGCTTCTTAGTGCTGCGCTTAATTAAACCCAGTGTGCCAGCAGCGAGGCCCTATATGAATTTATTCTGTTTTATCGATTTTTATTGTTTAGGATGAATATTCCATATCCATCAACATATGAATTTATTCTTTTCTCTAGTAGGCAGATTTCTGGCGATTTGCTGGAAGGAGCCATACAGTGAAGAACATGTGTGGAAACAGCATCACCTAGTGAGGACACCCATGAACCTACTACCCCCTCTCAGCTGCACATGCCCACCTTTCTCTTCCTCTGACCACTGAATTTTCAAAGTCACAGTTACCACCTACTTTCTCCAAAATATATTTCTCCCCACTGATGGTCTCTTCCTTCTTGGGATATCAATGATTCTCTAAGACTTGAGTCATGATTCATTCATATGTTTCCTCTCTCTCCCTCTCCTCTCACTAGTTCTTGCTTTTCATCAAAACATGGGTTATTCTTACACACTTCAACTGGGTGCTATTTTTCTCCACCTGTGCCGGATCACCCTGGAATCTATTGGTTACATATATTTCCACAGGTTCACTATTACCTTCTCTCTCCATATATGACTTACACTTTCATCTCCACCTTGAGAATCCAGCAAAGCTTCCATTTGGCTGATCACTGTCATGGTAACTGGTGCACAGCCAACATGCTAAATGTTACCTTCAACAAGTTCCTCCTCCAAGCTTGACAATTTGTGCGTATGGCCTTTGTTTTCTCTGTCACACAAATTAAAATTAGACTCACATTCCATGAATGTCCATCATTTGCCATGACCTGCCGAGTCTCTAGAGTAGTTTTCACATCCACCTCTTTCTTTTCTTTTTTTTTTAGAGATTTATTTTGTTTATTTACGAATATAAGAGCTGGGGTGCAGGCCAGAGGTGAGTGGGGGTGAGAGGAATCACCAGAGACAGTGGGGACAGAACAGGCAGATCTACTGAAATACACTGCTGAGGGAGGCAGTGGGCGAGAAAGGAGAAGTCTGCTGAGCCATATGGGTCAGCTCCCTGGCAGGGAATGGAACGCATGTCACAGGGCTGGTGATAGCTTCATAGTGCTGAGACTTTAGCCCCTGTGCCACCAGGGAGGACCCCTCCCCCATTCCTCTAGCTAGGGTCTAAGTTTAGTCTTTATTCCTTCGTTCTTCCACTAAGGATATAAGATGTCTCTCTCATTTGGAACTCACTGTTTAATCCACTTGGCACAGCACCATGACATTCAGCTCTCTCTGTGGTACCCCAGTTTATCACCTTCATGCATGTGTTTTCCCCTCAGTACTGCCTCTATAGCATCAGTGTTATATTTGATGGAATTTATAACAGTAAAAGAATTTGGAAAAATCTAAATGTACAGTAACTTAAGGAATGGCTGAATAAATTACTGTATGTCTGTAAAAGAAGTATTATGTGGTTATAAAGAGGCTATTGAACAACAGTGAACAACAGATAAAATATTTATTATCTAATGAAAGTTAAAAGTATAAATTGTATTCATAGTATGATTATACATAACTATATGAACACACATGTGTATCTGTTAATACATTTGGTATAAGATGTATGTAAAACAGATAGAAAGGAGATGTACACCAAAATGCTAATAATCATAGTGATAAACTTTAAATGATGAATTTTGTATGATTTTTTCTTTTTCTTACAGACATCTTCTGTATTCCAAATGTTTACAGTGATTATGTATTGCTTCTGTAATCAGGAAAAAAATCATAAAATCATCTGGGAAATATCAATGACAGCATTTTTTTTTGTTTTAATGACCTATAAAATACCATCAGAAATACTGATTTTTAGGTTTTCCTCCAAATGGATTAGAAAATTGAGGTTGGGAAGCAAATTTGCAGTTAGGTATTTTATGAATGATATTCTTGAGGTCACTGATGTTTCCACTTACTTAGAAATAAAATATATAACTACAAAAATCAGGCCAAAGCCTTCCCAGCCCCAAATGAACAAAGAAATGTGCATATTTTACTAAATCTCAGATGCTACCAATTTTAAATTGCATTGTTTCAGGTACTACTAGGAAAGAAAACACACTATCTGTTAAATATGACACATTGTTGGCTAGGAGGCCCATCCTGATTTGGAAATGCTCAAACGTGGATTGGATGCCACTTGGGGTGAATAACATAATTCATGACGTCCTTTAGACATAACTTACAAGGCAGAGGAGACAGAGCTTTCAATCACTATTTCCCGAAGGATCGTTTTAGTTGCATGCCACATTCCAGTAATATTTTACTTACACGTGACTAAAGAAGAACATCACGTTTGAGAATTCTCACATCTCTGGCTGCTTTTCTGTGTAGCTCAACACTCAACAACCGAGCTCCCACATGACCCATTTTATGTCTCCTTCGCGTGATGCTGCAAAGGTTCCAGACTGTGGTTACTGTAGCCACAATCAATATTTACTACCTGTCAGCACCTTTGGCAAATTTGACATGGATTATCTCATTTAATCCTCAGCTTAGTTTATAAAGTATTTACCAATATGGCTCCTTTACACAGGTAAGGAGCTTTCAATCACTATTGTCTTACCCAGAGTGACACTGCTTGGCTGCGGGAGTGGTCGTACCCTCAATGCTCCAGTAGCTGAGCCTGCAGTCACCCCCACTTTCTAGGTATTTTTTTAAGATTATTTATTATTTATGTATCCAAGAACTGAAGTACAGGTCAGAGGTACAAGGATGAGAGGATTCACTAAAGACAGAGTGGGAAACAAAACAGGCAGAAATACCAAAATCACTGCTGATGGGAGCAGCAGGTGAGACAGGAGAGGTCTGCTGTGCCATGTGGGTCCCTCGCTGGAAACAAACTCAGGGTGCAGTGGCTGCTGACAGCTTCATAGTTCTGCACTTAACCCCTGTGCCACCAGGAAGCCCCTCCCTAGGTATTTACAGGTACTGATTGCTAAGAAGCAATTTAGAATCTGAGAGTTCCATGTTATTGTTGGAAGGATTAAGATAGGCTTTCTATTCCCTTTCCTTCTCAGGCCTTCTACTCTGTCCTTCCCCTTCTTTTTCACATCCATTTATTCTGCAAAAGACTCTCTGGAATCTCTCATAACACGAGAAAAGTTAAGTTTCCATTTCCAGGTGGCTTGAGAGCAGCCAGCCTCGAGCCATTAACCCATCTGGAGATTTCCTCCCCCCAGGTTCGAGAGGCAGGGGCCCAGCACAAACTCTGGTGTGGAGCAGATGTACAAACCACATTAGGTAAGCAAATGTTACATGCATTATTTATGGAATTTGTACTCGCAAGCTTCATTTCAGTGTGTACTAGTCATCTAATTCAGGCTGTTGCTAGCACAATATTCAGGATAAATTATAAGAAAAAGAAAGTTTGAATAACATGAGCCCATTTAGAAATATTTTATATGCACTGAGAAAACACGAGAAGGATACACATCAAAAATCAGTATTAATTTCTATGTGTGTCGATTCATTGGTTGCTTATATTTTGTTAATAGTTTCTGTATCCTGCAATACATAGAAAAGATATATAATCTGGGGAAATTGTGTAAATTCTCTTTCCAAAGCCAGTTTAATTAACTTGTGTTTGGATACTCCATTCTGAAAGTTGGCTACTTTTGTACTTACATCATTACTTCAACGGAAATGAGTTCAAACTGGGAAGTTTTAAAGGCCCTGACAGATTCAGGTTTTGCTACAAAATGTGCTTCCTGAACCATGCTTTCTTTGGATGGCTAAACAGAGCAGAGGCATTCCGCAGCTGGAGACACGGTCTCAAGAAAGAAAACAAGTAAATAAAAACAGATCCTGGATGTGAGTGAATGAGAACACAGATAGATTATGGGGGCCTAAGCCAGCAGTCAGTTTTCCCTTGGCTCAGAATAGCATCTAACTGGCCCTGGTGCCAGACTGAGCCTGAGGCCACTGCAGGGAGGTAGTATTTTCCTGGCTTGAAAGGAATATGGTCTAACCACAAAATCTACCTGGCATTTGGCTGCTCCCCCCTCTATTTTTTTTTTTTAAGATTTATTTATTTATGCTTACGGAACTAAGTTACAGGCCAGAGGTGTGGTGAGTGAGAGGATTTACCAGAGACAGAGTAGGGAGCAGAACAGGCAGATGGACTGAAATACACTGCTAAGGGGAGCAGCAAGCGGGTCAGGAGAGGTCTGCTGTGCCATGTGGGTCACCTCCCTGGAGGGGGATCGAACTCAGGCTGCAGTGGCTTCGGAGAGCTTCATAATGTGCTGCTTTAACCCGCTGCACCACCACAGAGAGCCCTGACTGCTCCTTTTAGCCAGAATCTTGTTGAGGCCTGGCCCAGAGTGTGACACTGGAGAAAGAATTGGAAATAAGAAGCTGGAGGGTAAGAGCTATTGTGAGGCCTAGGGCCAGAGTGGCCTGTCCTAGGGGTTGGACTGGACACTGAACACTGAGTGGCACTGGAAGGAATGATGTCCAGGGTCCTTTCCTGAGCTACTACTCTGACTGGTTTCTTGGCTCCAATTTTGAATAACTTACCTGGACCTATGCCTGGAAAATCAGTCTACTGATGACTTGGCACCATAAGGAAGTGCCACACACACCAGGTATGTATTTCCTCTTTCACTTTCATGCCTCCAAATATCTGTTTTCATTGGATGAAAGACGAT